CTGGTGTCCAATTTATGTGATGCTAAAAAAGAATTCAACACATCATGACTCCCTGACTCTCAAGTTCCTGGAGACTGGTCAGAACCTCCTTAAGCACCATTCACTGACCATTTCTCTAAATTCAGAGGTCACTAGTTCCTGGATTGGATTGCATAGTAATCCAAAAAATGTCGATTCCCACAAAGCCGGGTTTCAGGCTGAACCCTTAACCCACAGTTAAGATTGTATCAAGTTATAGCATCTGGATATTTAACATAGCCATGGAAAATCACCATCTTTAAGTTCGGTAAACCATCTATAAGTGGGCCATCTATACCATGGCTATGTTAAATAACCAGAGGGTACCATGTTATATCACAACAGATCCTATTTTCTGATTTGGTGAACTCTCCTCAAGTCCCCATTGTGCTGGTGGCCCCTTGATCAGATCCAAAAATGTCATTAAAGGTCCTGGGACCTGAACAACAAATATCCTCCTGTAAAGTTTTATATAGATGTGAAACACCTATAAACACCTCCTGGTTGGTGGTTGAGCCCTACCCCTCTGAAAAATGATGGAGTTCGTCAGTTGGGATGATGACATTCCCAACTGAATTGAATGGAAAGTCATAAAATTCCATGGTTCCAGTCACCACCAAGCAGCTATAAACACCTCCCATTTGCAGGATCTTCCGGAAAGCCAATGTGAATCTCCCCATGTTTTTTCCCGACCGCATTTTACAGCTGGCGCACATGTGACCGATAATGTCAAAGGCCACATTGCCCTTGACGTTGACGTAGTTGGTGGAGTGGATGGCTACCGCCTGGGGAGTTATGGCTGTTTTCCAATGACGATACCCTCTGGTGATGTCAACATAGCTATTGAAAATGTCAAAAAAAAATCGTGGATTTCCCCATTAAACATTGTGATTGTCCATAGTTATGTAAACGTTTACCAGAGTAAGATCCAAAGATGGGCTAGATGGGTAAGATATTGGCTAGATGGGTAGGTTAAAAGTCTGAAAATTAATTGATGAAGAGTAGTGAACGGTACTTGAAATTTGCTTGAATACTGTATGTTAATCAAGATTATATAATTTGGAATGTTTTGGATGTTAGTATGGGGATACCCCAACATGGCAACTTCATTGCGGCAAACATGATAAACCCTGGTTGGTAGGCCGAAAAAACAGCTGCAACTGTCGTTTCTGCAATGGCCCGTGGAGGGAGCAGCCACCTCTGCAGAGAGCCTGACACTGTGTCTCCAGTTGCACCTGCATCAGCTCCTCCGAAAGGTTTTTGACCTTCTCACAGACCTGCCAGTACTTCATCATCTCCATCCTGTTCTGGCTAGGTTCTCTCCTCTGAGCCTTGCCGTTGCCTAGCGGTTGCAAGGTCAGGAACAGGTCCGCGAACCATTTCGGAGGCTCCTGGAGCAGCATCTGCGGCGCCCTGGTTCCTGGCTGTGCGTTGATAGTTCCTCCATTGCCTCGTTCCTGCCGTGCTGCAGCCTTGGGCCCAGGTCGGCAGCTGGTGTGCCGCCAGGGCCTCTGCGCTCGTGAACGCGCCTCTGGTATGGCGGCTGACACTACTTCCATCGATCTCGTTGCATTCTTTGGATATCTAAAATCTGTTTTACGGGTTTGTCTGAAGCTGAGATAATGTGGTAAAAGTCCAATAAAAAATCAGCATTCCAAATATCACCAGATATTGGTAAAAGTATAAACTTATAAACCAACAAAAAATGGAGGTGTATTGCTGTATTGCTGGGTTTACCACATGATACCCTTAAAACACACATGGGACAGGAAACAACTACATCAGCATACTCTCAGGATATCTCTGGATTGGTTCAAGTGAAAATCTAGAGGAAAACCCTACAATGTGAGGCCCCCCAGTTATAAGTTGGTTTATAAGCCCCAGTAACTATAGTTATAAGTACCATAAACCATAGTTATTGGATGTTATTGGAGTTATTTGCACCAACTTAGCTATCCAACGGGGGCCTCACATTGTATCTTTGGGGATCAAAACCCTACTTTCCCGCGGATTCCCCCCTGACATACTCTGGGGCGGTGTGAAATCGCACGTGAAAGTGGTCAGGATTTGCGGGTGTGAAATCAAGCAGCTGCTGCCCATGCTCTTCTCTTTCTTGTTGGTTGTTTGCGTTCCATGTAAACCTATCCCCATGATCTTCAATACCCAAATTTTCGGGACCCAAACAATCAATAGATGCAATAGCAAACTGGTGTTTTGTTTGGGGAAATTTCATACTAGATTGGCTCTATTGCAATTTCATGAAAGAAAACACAATGTCTGTGAAAACCTCGACGTTTGATGGCAAAAAACATGTACATTCCCTGCGAAGCAAAGTGCAGTTCCAGTTCTTTGTGCAGATCTGTGCATATATAGCCATACTTGTAAAAGATTGTAAAAGATATCTATCAACTTGCGTGGGTTATCGTCATGGTTATTCCAGGGGGATTCCCACTAATCTTCCCAACTGCAGCCCTGAGCAGTATTCCTAACTGCTTCAGTCCCCGACTCGTTGGAAGCTGTGGTGGATGGAGTTGTACCGCGCATAGCAGTCCTTTCCGTAGTCCTGCGAGTGACCCTGCAAAAGATAGAAAACGTAAATCATCAATATTGTAGGATTCTGCTTTTTCTATCTTGTTGGGGGATTATATACTATAAGATTATAAGTAGGTCTTGAATCAGTTGAATATTGTAGAAGAACCAACAGCTAATTCGAAGGCATTCTTGTACATGAAACAGGCAAAAATATGACCTTTTTTTGACCATATATGACTGGTTGGTGGTTTGAACCCCTTTGAAAAAATATGATTTCGTCAGTTGGGATGATGACATTCCCAACTGAATGGAAAGTCATAAAAATTCCATGGTTCCAAACCACCAACCAGATTATTACCCCACTGTGGTTTCCACATCCCCATGTTTCCTTGCTAAGTCCCAACATGATATATGACCATATATGACTAACATATCCTAACATTCTCTGATCATCTTTTCCAAGGCCCCACACTTCAACTAACTGGCCCGTCAGTACATGGACCGGATCTGGATCGCGAACCGGATGCGAAATCGCTGCCCTTGGATGGTTCAAACATCTTGAAAACCTATACACTCTGGTAAACCATAGGAAAATTGTGGTTTAATGGTGGTTTAATGGGGTTTAACCAACAAAATGGTGATTTTAATGGGATGTACCCTCTGGTAAACTAACATAACTATGGAAAATGACCATAGAAATAGTTGATTTATGTTGATTTACCCATTAAAAAAGGGTGATGTTCGATAGTTATGTAACAAATTACCAGAGGGTAAATCATGGGATGTTTACCTAAGGGCAGGATTTCTGAACCATGAAACAAACAAATAGCTTATGGCTTATGATATAACTAGGGTCATAATTTACAACAAGTCGGATGAACCACCAACAATTCTGCCACCACCCACAGCTCCTGAGTGATGTGGAAGTGGATCGGGTACCTGCGGAGCCAAAAGAGGAATGGTTAAAAAAGCGGATCCCACTGAGTTGTCGCAATTGACATTTGCTGTGTAAACAGCGTTTTCAACAACTATTGTACTTACTAACAGAAGCCAACTGGCAAATCGCAGCCAGCATCGAATTAGCGCTGTTGTCGTCAGATTCTTGCCATGACTCCCAAAATTGCTTACCCCGAAAATGTATCTCGACGATGATTTTCCGGATCTCGAAATTGTCAAGGCGGAACTATACCATTTCAGGTGATATTGCTGACCCCAAATTGAAAGTACCCTCTGGTAATTTAACATAGCTATGGAAAATTGCGATTTATAGTTGCTTTACCTTATAATAAATGGTGTTTTTCCATGGCTATGTTAAATTACCAGAGGGTAAACTGCGGCAAAGCCGTTTCCAGCATGCCCAGGGCTCACAATCGCTCCTGCTTTTCCTGATGATTCGTACTTGGCTTTCCGTAAAAACGGGTTCTACCCCCAACAAAGGCGACTTAAATGAGCCAACATATGGAACAATGATGATCAACCACCAATTGTTCGAAGTTATCCAGTAAAAAATCAGGTGCAAAAATCGAAAAATTAGGTTATCCAACAATTTTTTCAGGTGCAAAAACCACCAAAAACACCAAAAAAATGAGGATGAACCCATCATTTGTGTATATGTTTGTCAGGTTTTCCCGATGTTTCCTCCAAAATGTGCATTCGACTCCAAGAATTCCCTGGCCGGCGAAACTCCCAGGCCCAGCCTGGAGACCTCTCCGGTTTGACCCAGACGGAAGAACCTTGGAGTTGGCCCATCGCAGGACATACCCCAGAAACATGGGCGAAATATGGATTACCCTCTGTGTATTTAACATATGGAAAATGGCCCATAGAAATAGATGATGTTCCCATTAAAATATCCACTTATAAGGAATTTTCCATAGCTATGTCAAATAACCAGGGTATACATGGTGAATATTCCCCAAACATGGCTGATAGACTGAGGATAATGGATAAAAGTCCTCAAACTGCAGAGAAAAAAACAAACAAGAAATTGTAGGTGAGTCATCTATAAATGGGCAATCTTCCACAGTCACTTTAAGTGTGGCTTGGACACTCTAAAGTGTTTGACGCAAAGCGATTCCCTTCAAGTGATTTTTAATGGGGTTTTCCTTTTTGTACGTAGACAAAAAGCATACCTGGTTGGTGGTGTATATCTACCCCTCTGAAAAATGATGGAGTGAAAGTCAGTTGGGATCTGTTACATTCCAAATCTATGGACAGTCATAAAATTCCATGGTTCCAGTCACCACCAACCAGATTATTACCCAACTGTGGTGAATCACATCCCCATGTTTCCGTATGCTAAGTCCCAACATGATATATGACCATATATGACTAACATATCCTAACATTCTCTGATCATCTCTAACATATCCAACATGTTATTCCAAATCTATGGAAAGTCATAAAATTCCATGGTTCCAGTGGGTCAAAACCAATAGTACCCCCTTCTGTTCACATCAATCCATAGCTGGTTAGTTCTGGATGTTCATCCCACTGAGTGGACTTTTTGGACTTTAAGCAGATCTTCTAACCGATCTGGTCAGCGGCCTGGTAAATCTCTGGTAAACCATGGGAAAACCATGGGAAAACCATGGGAAAATGGAGGTTTAGCCTCTGGTCAACGTTTACATAACTGTGGAAAGATCCACCATGCTATCTAGCTGGGTAAATCCACTATTTCTAAATCACCATTTTCCAGTGGCTATTTTGACATAACCAGATGGTGCATCTGCAATCTCCGTAGACCTCGCTTAGACTTGTGCACCTGTCTCCGGCAAGGACTCAACACTCAGCCATTGCAAAGGCTGAAGCGAATGCTCGATGGTTTACAACACCCATTAACTACTTCGATATATGGGTGTGTCTGAAAATGTTGTGTACCCCTTTTTACCCAATGGTTTTGCTGATCATTATCCCTATTAAATGGCTATAATTGGGAATATACCCTATTTTCCGACACACCCATATATTGTATCTACCATGAACCCAAGTTAGAAGTCCCTTTCCCACTGGTTGACGGATTGAACGTTATCAAGAACCATCTTTTTGTTCGCTAAGTCTGCATCTCACCTTGCATGGAATGATTACTCAACACCAGAGATGTATCAGCAGTGGTTTACATTCTCATTCGAGATGAGTTAGTACTATACCCATCAAAGGGTTCAGCAGATAAGCATAGTTCATGAACCCTCACTTATGTTTGTTGCTTTATAAACCTCTTGAAGAAAACCTCTTGAACACTATCTGGTTGGTGGTTTCAACCCCTCTGAAAATATTAGTCAGTTGGGATTATTATTCCCAACTGAATAGAAAAAAATAGATTCATGTTCCAAACCACCAACCAGCTATAGTCTATAGATAGTCTATAATTAGTTACTATAGTTCTATCATGTTGTATCTCCCTGAAACCCAACACTTCACCGGGATCTACATCTCAAAATTGGGATCCGTATCAGCCAGTAAAAATTACCCATGGATTACCCGACTGAGCCATTAAAAATGCCACTGTCCGACCCTATCCCATCTCAATATCATCTCATTATACTTAGCATGTTTGTTAAGATTTTTAACGGTGCCACTTAGAATGCCTTTTTTTTGGCCTCACTTAGAATGCCTCCATCGCTAAAACATTCAAACCTGCGAGCTGGACTTTTATGAGGCATTCTAAGTCTAAGTGCGCATGATTATCGCCATATTTGGAGACCCTTTCAATATTTTTTTGGTCCAAGGCATTCTAAGTTTCAGTCCGATGCTATTAGAGATGTAGACTTAAACTCTTGATGGTATATAAAAATTTATTATATAATCCCCTGTTCTGGTGTGAATATGCTACAGTAGTTGTTGTCCCCTAAATCGCATTTGTGAGTTTCAGGAGAAAGGAAAGGAGAAAGGAAAGCAGAAAGGAAAGGGGAAAGGAAAGGAAAGGAAAGGAGAAAGGAAAGGAGAAAGGAAAGGAGAAAGGAAAGGAGAAAGGACAGGAGAAAGGACAGGAGAAAGGACAGGAGAAAGGAAAGGAGAAAGGAAAGGA